GCCTGCCGGAGGCCGATCCTCCACGGCAAGCGGTCGCCAGCGCCAGCGGCGACGCCCGGTGTTTCCGGCGGCGGTCCACCCACCCCTTCCTCCTGTGGCCCTAATCCTCCATTTGCACCATTGGTTGTTACTGTCAATGTTAGCTTTGCCCCCCCCCCCCCCATGATTGAGCTGACTGGGCCGTTGTCCCGTCAGGGTGTTTCCGTTTCGCTGATTATTGACAGGTTTGTTGGACACTTGTTGGTCCCCTCGGGCGTGAGGGGCCTTGCCTGCCTTCCTTGCTGTGCCCCTCCGCGGCGCCAGCGCCAGCGCGGCGTCGGCGCAGGCGCGCGGGCCCCACAGGGGCAGCGCGCCCTGGAGCACCGCGGAGAACCTGCGGCCCCGCGCGCGCGCCTCGTCGCGCCGCTCGGCCGCCGCCGCCGTTGGCCGTCGGCCGCCGCTGGCCGCGGCCGGTGCCGTGGCCGTCGGTGCCGCTGGCCGGGGTCGTGGGCGCGGTCGTCGCTGGCGCCGTCGACGCCGCCGCCGTGGCAGCCGTGGCTACCGATCTTCTTCGTCGTCGGCATGTGCGTCATGGTCGTCGTCACCGCCGCCGCCGTCGCCGCAGCCAGCGTCAGCGCCGCCGCCGACATCGTCGTCCGTCGACGCTGGCGGCACTACCGCCGCATTCGCAATCGCCGCTGCTGAATCTAAAGCAGGTTGCCAATGTCTCATACCCTTACCTCAGAAGCGATAGCGCAGACCACGCGAAATCACTGGACGTGCTAAGGTAACGATCGTCAATTTAGCCGTCACGACAACCAGCTAGACGCCACGAACAAACGAAAACCAAATTCGATGCCGAAGAAAATCGAGCTCCCACGCGCACCGGCAGCGGCGAACGAACGTATTCGCAATCGCGATCATCGTTTCTGTCGTAGTTCCAGTGTCTACCAGTAGCTGAGTGGCAGCAACACGCTTGCAAATGCAAGCGTAGGAACAAACCACCGGTAATAATCAACAGAGTCGATACGCGCATGCAGTGTAAAACACAATCGCATGGTTATCGTAATGACAACAATTGTGCTACATGTTTCCATGGCGGTAAACCTTCATACTAGTCGTAGAGGGTGGCCCGCGACATGACGAAATGATGCGCCAAAGACGAGAAGGAGAACACACACGCACAAGCACACACACAAATCCTAAACTTCAAGTGATCGCGCAGCTTCTCGGCAACTTCGAGCACCTGGCACTCGCAAGTATTATGGACACAGGACACGGAGACAAGGGAGCAAACCCAACGAGCGCCCAAAAAGGCCTACGGGTGGCGCAGCGGCGAAAAACTCGCAAGCCTTCCAGAGCCACGCTCGGCTCACGCACGCACACACGCACACACTTGTTTGGCGTCGTGGCCACGCGGGCAGCGGCACGGCGGACGAAAGGTCGGGCGAAAAGACGCGCGCGGCCAGCAACGACTACGCACACACACACACACACTCGTTTGGCGTCGCGGCCCCGAGCGCGGCGACAGGGCGTAAACATCGGAAACAGGCGGTGAATCGCGCGCGTTTACGCCCAGCCGAGCACTCATAGACCGTTAAGGTCTCGCAGCCGGCTGCAGCCATAACCATCCTGCTGGCATGGATGGCGGAGAACGGCGGTGAACACACGAAACTACGGGGAGGGTGGGTGGTGACATAAGCGAACCGAAACCGAAGGCGGGGAGAGCCAGTAAGCAGGCGTGGACCGACGAGGGAGTAAGTCAAGGAACGACAGGGGGAGCCAGAAGCAGGTGGCGGAGCCGCAAAACGTCGCAGGCCGAAGGAAGTGCGAAAGCCAGCGGAGCCGGGCGGTGCAGCACACACACACACACACACACACACACACACACACACACACGCACAAACACACACACACACACGCACACACACACACACGCGCACACACACACACACGCACACAAACACGCACACAAACACACGCACACGCACACACGCGCACACACACACACACACACACTCACACACACACACACACACACACGCGCACTCACACACACGCCCACATACACACACACACACGCGCGCACACACACATATTCTCTCTCTCACACACACGCGCCTTCCCCACACATTCCCCTATCCAGGCGCCTCGGCCCGCCTGCGCGCGCAATGCACACGGCGAGCATCTCGGGGTACTTGGCGCCGACCTGCAGAAGGGTCCCCCCCCAAACGGAGAGGGCCCCCTGGCCCTGCTCGGCCATCTCGCCCACCAACCTAGCCTCCTCCTCCTCCTTCTCGTCCTCGGCCTCCCTTCCTCATCCTCTGCCTCCCTCCTCCTCGGCCTCCCTTCCTCCTTCTCCGCCTCCCCGATCTGCCTCATCCTCCGCCGCCACCTGCTACGTACCCGTCGAGATTATCCAGATCTTTGTCTAGTCCCACTTTTCATCATCCAACTCATTCACCCCAGACCCCCGACGTCGTGATTGTTTCACAACGTCGAACCCTTCCCCGGGACCGTTTTTTCATCCTGACTCGTTTTGTGACGCTCCCGAAGACCAAGAGGGGCCCTGGGAGGCCGAAAACCATGTAAACCTCCCGTCGTGTGTTTGTCCACAGCGCGAGGGGGTCATCCTCATCGTCATCGCCATGGGAACAAGGAGAAGCGGCACCAACACCACCAGGGATCACCAGCGCGAGGAGCCATGGGTGGTCCCCCCAGGTGGCGTGCTCTCCCCCTCTCGCTCGAGACGTCACCTAGCCCCCCGCTCGGGGAGGCATCGTGGACCTCCTCGCTGGAGGTGGCCTCCTGGTGGTGTTGGTTTCGTTTCTCCTTTCCCCCACGCCATTCTTAGAAGCAGAAGAAGAAGTAACGGCATAAAAATAAACGTTCAACGGTCCGCGCGGATTTCTTCGATCTGAGCTGGACCGGGCCAGGGGAAGCGCCAGAGGCGCCGCCACGAGGGGCCAGCGCAGATCCAAGAAATCCGCACGGAGCTCCCGAAAAGTAGAATTATAGGCGTGCCTCTCTATACTACTCTATAGAGAGCAGAAAATCCACCCCGATAATAACCACCCCAGCACGCGAAGTGGTTCAGTAAACGCGCCCAAAGAAGGAAACGAACAGGGCAGGGCTGTCTAGCAAACGCCCAAGGCCGTTGAAAAAAAACACCAACTGTCAGGTCCGGGTGGTCTTCCCCCCCTTGATTCTAGCTACCTTCTCCCAGTGGTGGTGAGAGCCCCGAATCATCAGGGATAACTCGGGTCAGGGTTAACTCGGGTTCGTGTTTCGGGAATCCGAACCCGAGTTACCCCGGACCCGAGTTACCCCGGATAACTCGGGCGCCCAGAGCCCCACATCATCAAGGGTAACTCGGGTCAGGGCTAACTCGGGTTCCATTTTCGGGAATCCAAACCCGAGTTACCCCGGACCCGAGTTACCCCGGATAACTCGGGCGCTCCTCCTTCCCCCCACGCCATTCGAACACGTGCCCTTGCAACACCACCGCCGGCTGCCTGAGCTGCTGCCCGCGCCGGCACACACGCGGCGGGCCCGCGGCGGGGACCCGCAGCACTTCGACGGCGCACGGAGCGGGCACGGGGCGAAAACCTAGAACACCCAGCCACCGATCGATATGGGTATGAATATATATATATGCACACATACATATACATATATATATATATATGCTCTGAACACTCCCGCTTGCCAACGCAGATGATTTTCCAGAGAGGTAGCAGGCTGCCAAGGGTGGACGACACTGGTGCTTGCTGCGAACGGAACTTATAATAGAGCGCGCTCGCTCCCCAGCTTTGACGACATATATAATGAAAGAAAGGAAAGCAGGAGGAGGGGAGGGAGGTGGTGCACTTGAGCCCGATGTCCATGGATGTACATCGGTTTATCGAGGCGGCTGCGCTGAAACTGAGAGCACTAACGCTTGGAAAACTGAACCCTGCTCTGAACACTCCCGCTTGCCAACGCAGATGATTTTCCAGAGAGGTAGCAGGCTGCCAAGGGTGGACGTCACTGGTGCTTGCTGCGAACGGAACTTATAATAGAGCGCGCTCGCTCCCATCTTCCCGAATCTACTCTGGCCAAGCCGCATGAGCTTGCTCACAAAGTCAAAGACGCGAGATGATTGAGTTGGATCCGGTCGGCAGCCTGCACAAGCAGAGAAGCGGCACCCCGGGCGAAGGAGTCAGGGTACTCTTCGGCCCGGGCGGTCAGGTTCCTGGGGTCCCCGGGTCCGCGGCCCTGGAGGGCCACATGAGGCCGGAGCGTGCGGCTGCACATCCCTAGGACCCCGGAACACCGTTTACACAACGCCTTAGGCGGAGCCCCTACATTCCACCCCACGACTTTAGTGGGCTTCTTCCAGGCACGATTATGTTGGCACATGTGTGTGACAAACTCTTTACAATTGTCTAGGCGCGTGAGATCTAAAAGGGCGGGGCACTGCCAGAGGAGACTAGACTGGGGATTCTCCATGGCCACTGGGACCCCTGCCTTCAAGCACGCACGAATCACACATACGCAAAAGAGAGCTGTTGCATTGCCGAACTGTACTTTGACTGCGTTTTTGTCGGAGAGGTCGGGCCGACCATATATATGCTGAGGCGTGCGGAATGTGTTTCGGCTGGCAACGCTCCACGTTGAACACGGGGGGGCGAGCCACACGGCCCGCACGACGCGACTCCCGATCCAACCTCGAACAACTTTAAGAGCTGCGTCGGATGACAGATCAAAAGCAGGGTCAGCCTTGACATCGAGACGGAGGGCCGGCAGTCCGCTCAACCTCTCCAGCCATTTTCCGACACGGCCTGTCCCCGCAAAAAGATCCAGAAAAGTCTGTGCCCTCCGAGGCTGGCGGCCTAGCGCCTGGTCTAACGCGGCCCTGAGGCTGCGTCTGACCGACGCGGCCGACAGCTGGAGGGCAGAGGCAAGAGTGTCTCCTGAGCGCCAGAGCTGGCCGGCGGCCAACGCCGCGGCCTTTTTGCCCCTGGAGGCGCGGCCACGGCCTTGCGCTTGCTGATCAGCGCCTCGAAGTTGGCATCCACGTAGTCTCCGTACTGCTTCGTGTCGGCCGCCAGCTGGTCTAACTCGCGGAGATACCTCGTGTGCTTTTTGTACCGTCGTGTTGACGACTCCTGAGCATGCCTCAGCCTCTCCTGGATGGTCTTCATGTCTCGATTCTGGTGGAGAGCGTCGGCGCTGGCGGCTCCGTGGCGCACCTGGTAGGGGTTCAAGTCCGGGAGGCCAGCCAACTGCGCCACCTTGCGGAACAGCACTCGGAATTGCGCGGCTGAGAAGGACCACAACGGCTGACTCGGTCCGGCACGACGTACCGGCGCCTGCAGCAGCGGCCCCATCGCCGTCACCCTGTCGCTGTCCAGCGGGCAACCCTCGTCCCACTGGCCGGTCTTGCTCCTGGGCTGCTTCTCCTCGTGGTACAGGAGCAGCGCCCAGTGAGACACCCCCGTGGACCGCTGGGGCGGGATGAGCGAAGAGCCGGTCATGGAGATCAAGTCGCTGGGGAGCCGAAGGTAGGCGCACCACGCCACCTCCAAGGCCATTGCCAGCTCCTGCATCCCCAAGAACAGCGCAGCGCCCACCAGAGCCGCCAGCCCTGGCCGCGGCAGGGGCGCCCGCGACTGGCCCGGGGCCCGCTTGCGGAAGCCCCTCAAGGCTGCGCGGGCCCTGGGCAGCGCCTCCACGGACTGGTACACCCCGTGCACGTCGTAGTACTTGACGGCTGCTATCAACTTTTCTCCTTGATCGTGATTGTAGCCCTCGAAGAAGAGCGAGTCCATGTGGGCGGACAGGGCCTGGTCCATCTCCTCCGGCGTCTCCAACTTGAGGTCCTGCTCCTCGGCCCACCTCTCGAACTCGCTCAGGATGACCCGGTAGTAGGCCACCGTCTGCGGCTGTGCCCGCGATGCCTGCATGTAGCCCAGGCCCGCGGCCGCCGCCTCCTGAGCTGCCTCTCTCTGCGTCTGCCTCAGCGTCGCACGTCGGCTCCTCCTCGCCTGAGCTGCTTGAAGAGCTGCTCCACGCCGCCTCGGCAGCTCCACTGGGCGGCGACTCGGCTGGCTCGACCCGCCGACACAAGGCCGCCGCAGGCTCGTCCAGCCAGGTGTCCCCGAGGCCGCAGAGGCCGGCCGCCTCTGCCCCGCCTGGCTGGCGGAGGAGGTGGTTGTCGATCTCCCCCTCGAGCGCCAGGTCGAGGCGGGCGGCGGCCGCGTGAGCATCAAGGTACCATGCCGATCGTGGATCTGACCGAGGGTCCCGCGGCTCGGGCCGAGATGGCCACGCTCTCGACGGTCGGTCTGCTGGGTTTATCTCTGACGCTATCCATCTGAAACAACAGTGAACGTTGGCAAACAAACTGAGTGCAAGAACCTCTTGACACGTACGATTGACTGTTGAAGTAGATCCCCGGCCCTTGCTGAGGGCCAACACCATGGACATGTTATCACAAAGGAACAAGTGACGAGCTCCCTGGGACGCCCGGGAACGTAGACGATGCCGAAGCCCCAGTACAACCCCTCGCCCCTCAGTACGCAGGATGTTCTCATGACGAAGCCAACGACCTTTTGCGCAGAGGCGCCAGCTGCTGTCGTCGCCCATCTGGCTGGGCGTGATATGTTCGAAAGTGACTCCTGCCTGGCGAGACATTGGACGCTTTGGTCCCTGCTCCTGCGGCAGGCCGAGCGTCTGGGCGCGAGCAGCGATGGCATCTGAGACACACCACCGCCACTTCTCGGCCTGGCCGGCCGCGGCCCTCACGCTCTCCAGGTCCCAGTCCGTCTCCATCGCGCCGTACCCGCCGAAGTCGTGGCGGCTGGCCCCCGAAGCGTCGGACGCGGTCACGACCGTGCTGTAGGGCCGCTTGGCGTCCACGAGCGCGAAGCACACCAAGGCCGCGGCACGCCGCAGCTCGGCCTCCACGCAGGGCCAGAGCCTCCACCTCCTGGAGCCGGCCAGGGCGATGTACCTGTACGTCTGCGCGAACACACTCAGCAGTTCGCGCCGCAGGATCGCTGCCCAGCACCAGTGGCCAAGGAGATGCCGAAGCTCGTCTCCCGAGGCCCACCCGCGGGAGGCCGTGTGCAGGAGGGCCAGCCTCAACTTCCACGTCCGTGACCGAGAAAGCCGTATCTTGCCAGAGGCCACCTCGAAGCTCAGGCCCGTGAAGGTGGTGTCCGAGCCAGCCGCCTCCACGCCCTTGCACTTCAGACCCAGCGCCTCCAGCTTCGCGGCGACCCGCTCGCAGTCGGAGGTCACCAGGTTAGCCTCCAGCCCCACCACAGCAACTCCGTCCACGTAGACGGCCACACGGTTGCGGTCCGTCACCGAAGGGGCTGCACGGCGATCCTGGATGAAGTCGGACAGGGCGAAGCCAGCGGCCTGAACACCAGCCATCACCATGCATTGGCAAAAGTAGAGACTCCATGTCCACCCCATGGGAAGCACCTCTAGGCAAGGTGACGCCCACGCCTCGATCCCTGGCGGCAGCTGGTCTGACAGGTCAGGCCTCAGCTTCAGCAGGGTGGGAAGGTGGACAGCTCTCAAAACGAACATCTCCTGCGCCCCCCGCGGCAAGCCGATCCTGTAGAACGCGTTGTCCACGTCGGCCTGGGCGAGGTGCAACTCCTGGTCCATGGGGACCTCCAACGCTGACCAAGCCCCCGCTGTCGGGAGCACTGTGTGCGCTGGAGCTTCAAACAAGTCATTGACACGCCGAGGGTCAATAATTAAGCGCTGCATACCATTCGATTTGTGCACAAAGAAGGCGCCCACCGTCTCCTCCCGCTGCTGCGTCAGGGAGACCACGCCGGCATCCAACAGGTCGCCGACGAACTGGGCGCAGGTAGATCGGGAACGAAACTTGCCGTCGTAGTGGGGCTTGGGCGCCTGGCTGCCGCCCTCGGGCTGTCGCTTCAACAGCTGCCTCCATCCTACCCATTGCTGCAAAGCTTCTCCCTCCAGGATGCGGCCCCCATCAGCGAGGCCGCCCCCCTTCGGCAGAGAGACCAGGGACCAGTCGTAGGACGCAATGTGCTCCGGCTCGAAGACGTAGCCGTGCCCAGGTCCGCACAGCTCTCGGTGGGCTGCCGCGGCGGTGCAAGCTGGCGGTGGCCCGGCGTCCTCCACCACGCGCCTGACATGCTCCAGCCCGCACTCCTGCGCGAGCGAAGACTTGCCGTCGGCGGGCAGCGACCCGTGGCCATACAGCTCATTAATTGAAACCAGAACTTCCTGCGTCCAGGCGTGGAGGTGCTCCTTCTTGCGGAGGCGGCTCCTCGCAGCTCGGCTGCAGGCGCCCACAGGGGGCGAGGGCGGCGGGCCCGCGGGGATGGCCACTGGAAGCAGCTCCCGCGGGACCGCCATGGGAGCGCCGTAGGCTACTTGGCCCCCCGGCCGCCACCGCGGCCGCGTCCCCCGCCGGCGCCTCCGTCGCCAGCAGGTGCAGTCTCACCGACCTTGTCCATCAGCCTGCGGATCTCGGCGGCCTGGGCGTTCACCTTCTGCTGCAACCCCTGGGCCGCGGCGGATGAGCTCCCACCTGTCCCCCCTCCGCCGGGGGCGCGGCTAGCCTGCCTCTCCTCCTTCAACTTCCTGCGCTCCTTCATCACGGCGGCCTCTTTGTGGAGCTGCTCGGTGATGTGGTCCGAGAGGTCTGGGCTCACCATCACCAGCCCACGCGTGAGGCCGGTCCCCATGTACAAGAACTCATCCTCCGCGAACTCGTCACCGCCGTGCTTCCCCAGGATCTTGTCGCGATACCGCATCTCCGCGAGCTGCGCCCTCCTCAAGAGCAGCTCGAAACTCGCTAGCTCTGTGATGTTGAGCTGGTCGTACACCACGGCGAGCTCTATCATTCTCATCGCCAGCGCATGGTCCTGACAACCGATGTCCTGACCACCCAGCCCCGCTTCATGTCTCCATTTCGTGTGTCGCGCGCGGGGGTGGGTGTCCTGCTCAGCGATGAAGTCGAGACACCACCGGGCGGTCCTGGGGCCGAGGATCGGCCACGCCGGCCAGCTTGTCTCCGTCATCTCTCTCACACTATCCTTGAATGGGCGCCGTCGCTCACCACTCGGGCTCTGGACGATGCTGAGCACGCGGGCGTCCGAGTCCAAGTCATCATCGACACCTGAGCTCCTCCGCAGCAACAGCACCTCTGAGCCCTTCACGGCGAGCGCACCCACGTCACAGACAGCGAACTCGTCAACGTTCAGGTTGCCCAGCAGAGTCTTGCGCGGGGTGCCGCCCGTGCTCCAGACGACCTGCCAGCCGTCGGGGGTCGGGGGCGGCAGAACCCGCGATCCGACCTCAATCAGATTCGCCACCGCTCCACCCCCAGCTGCCACTACTGCCAGCCGGGGCTCCAGCCACTGGTCGCCGATGCACAGCTTGATCATCTTGGCGAACTCCAGCGGCGTGGCGCTCCAGTCCGAGCCATACACGCGCGTGCGGTTGGTGAATCGTGTGCCGAGGAACGTCGCCCGATCGGGCCGGCCCTCGTCGTCGCACAGGATCAACCCGCTGAGCGGGCCCACGTCCAGGCAGTGAGGGTAGGCGTCGCCGTCCGGGGTCCCGCACCACCATATCTTCCCTGCTGCTATCTGTTCGGGAGTCGCTTGAACTTCCATGATGGCCTGCAGATCGGCGGCGGTGGCGGGAGCGATGGCGACGCGGGCCTGCCAGTCCTGCCCATCCCCCCACTGCACGAGCAGCCTCCTGCCGGCCTCCACGGCCATGGGGACACCCACAGCACAAGGCGCTCGCCAGGAGGAACCCGAGGATGAACGAGGTGCTCGCCAGGCTCCGCGTGCCGCCGAAGAGATCCAGCACTGCTACACACTCGCCCGTACTCGCAACCACGGGCGCCAACACACTGCTGATCGTCTGCGAGGCTGTCCAGCCTCTGGAGAGAATGTTCCAGGAATTGGAAAGAAGGGCAAGCTGCATGCGGACTGGCCGCAAATTAATGCACTTGAGCCCGATGTCCATGGATGTACATCGGTTTATCGAGGCGGCTGCGCTGAAACTGAGAGCACTAACGTTTGGAAAACTGAACCCTACATGTGTGTGTGTGTGTGTGCATGTACGCATGCATGTATGTATGTATGTATGTACGTACGTACGTATGTATGTATGTATGTATGTATGTATGTATGTATGTAGGTATGCATGTATGTATATATGTATGTGTGTAGGTTTGTGTGTAGGTTTGTTTGTATGTAGGTTTGGTTGTCTGTGTACATGTGTGTATGCATGCATGCTTGGATGCATGCCTGTGTGTATGCCTGTATGTATGTATGTCTATGTTTGGGTGTATGTGTACGTGTATACGTATATGTATGTGTAACTGTATATGTGCGTGCACATCTATGTGTCTATGCGTGCATGAAAGGGTATGTGCGCATGCACCTGTGACTGTATTTCTAGAGGTAAAAGTAGAAGTACCGGGAACTGCACATGTACATGTACATGTAGCATGACATATGACTTCAACTGCGCATGTAAATGGAACTGCACATATAAGCGTACCCGTATATGTAAAATGTGTATGGGTCGCTATATGTATGTGTGTATACCGAGCATGTGTATGTGTACATGTAGATGTCCATGTACACGAATGTACATGATATGACTATGCATGCAACTGCGCACAAGTGCGTACGTGTGTACATGTAAATGTAGACGCATATGTGCACGTATAGGTGAAGGTATGGGTAAGGCATACCATGTGTATAGGTATATGTTAATGTAGATGTCGACGATTGTCAAGTACGTATGTATGAATTGCATACATGCTTGTATTCGTGTATGTATGTTTGCATGTATGAATGCAAGTACGTATGTGTATGTATGTGCGTATGTATCCATACACGCATCTATGCATACATGCAGTCCATGTACATACTATATGTATGTAGTAAGTATGTATGTATTTGCGCATGTATGTATGTGCGCATGTATGTATGTAGTAAGTATGTATGCAGCTATGCATACATGCATGCGTCCATGTATGTACTGTGTATGCATGTTGCTTACAAGGAATATGGCGACCCTGTCCCAGTCTTCGTTGGGTTTCGAAAGAATCGACCCTGGGATGTACGAGGGGGGGCCGTCCATCCTCGATAGGGGTGTGTCCGATTAATACCCTTGGGGTGTATCCCATTGTTCCCCCCTCTTTTTTCCTGAGGGGCCAAAATTGTCGGGCGGAGCTCGGCGGGGGGTGGGGAGAAGCATCGCCTGCGAGTGTATGTCATGTGGATGGGTGTAAAACACAGCCGCCAAGCAATTCGTAGACGTGTGTGTGTGTGTGTGGGGGGGGGCACCAAACCGCCTAACAGTACATGCATGAATGGACAAGCCTACATTGATGTACTGTAGAGCCCGCCGCCGAGCCCGGATCAATCAGGGAACATCGGCTGACCCCCGTTGGCGCCGACCCCCGGAAACGCGCGCGCGCCCACACGGAGGCCTCGCGTAGGAGCCTCCAGGAGGGCCTCAGACCCTGGGGCCTGGACTTCGGTCGAGCATGTCCTCCTACAGGCGGACAAGAAATCAAAAAATAGTCAAGCAATGCTCGAACATAGCCAGAAATGGTAAAAACATCCTCCCTCGACTATTCTTGAATATTCCTCCTGTAGAGAGACACGCCCGACTTAAGCCTGGGCCTGGGAGCGAATTCATGGAGGGACGACAACTGGGGGGAAGGAAGATGCCCCTGTCGGGCCCAAAAGGGCCCCTTTGGGGCCCTCAAGGGGCCCTTTTCGGCAGCCCTTGCTGCACCCCCCATGTATCGCCCCTCCATGACGCGCCCTCTGATGGGCGCTCCGACCTCGGGCTCCGGTTCGACGACGGGGCGGCGATCCGAGACGGCGGGGAGAAGGTGAGAGAGGTGGTGGCTTCAGCTGTTTGCGCCTGTGAGCTCATCTCCGCCTGTCCTCGCCAAACAGATGAATCGAACGCCTGGCGCGCGCTGGCGACCGTGTGCTGCAGACGGGCCAGAGAAATATTCGAACCTGAACGCACGCAGCTGCACCATCTATTGGAGCAGATTGGGGCATCAAGTGGACGGAGGTGGAGGAGAAGGAGGAGAAAGAGGAGAAGGAGCAGGAAGAGGAGGAGGAGGAGGAGCTCTCGTCCATTCAGTTCATCATACTCCTGCCAGAGCGTGCTCGTGAACGTTGGGAGGAGCAACACGAAGATTTGCGCACCCTCTACTTCGCCGCTCCGTTCGGAGCACCGTGCACTCGAGGAGCAGAAGGAGGAGGAGGAGGAGGAGGAGGAGGAGGAGACGACGCTGCGGGATGAGGGCTCACAGCCTGCCCAGAGAGCAGGAGAAAGCCTGGAATGGAGCAGACCTCGACTGGATGAGAGTACCTGGAATGGGGGAGGAGGGGGAGGAGGACGAGGAGGAAGAGGAGGAGGAGGAGGCGAGGAGGACGACCAATGGAGGAGCAGAAGAATGACACTTCGAATGAAGGGAGGAAGGGAGGGACGGAGGGAGGGAGAGGGGGAGAAGGAGGAGGAGGAGGAGGGAAAGGATAATCACAAATACCCTGAAGTGGGGGCGGGAGGGGCCTCAGGAGCTGCAGGCCCCGAACGGGCGGGAGGGCGTCGGCCACGCGCGCCCCGCCCGCGCAGAGTTAGTTCGCGCAGGGGCCGCCTCCAGCAGGTCGCGCACCTGGCCCGGGGTCATGTCGGCGAGGAGCGCGGCGTAGCGGGAGCCTGGCCCCTCCCTTCCGGCAGCCTGGCCCTTCTCCTCCTCCTCCTGCTCCAACTCCACCCGAGGCCTCCTCCGCGCCCGCCCGAGGTGTTCTCTCCCAATCGAGGCATCCTCCTCGCTCGCCTCCTCGTACTCCTTCTCCCTCGTCCTCCAGTTCGAGGATCCCCTCTCACCCCTCTCCGCCTCGTCCGTTCCAGGTATCCTCCTCGCCTCCCCCATGGATTCGAAGGGTCCCCGCCTTCTCAATTCGAGGCACCGTCTTCCTCACTCTCCTCCTCCTCCTCCTTCCTCATTCCAAAGACCTCCCCCTCCATTCGAATGGAGCCTCCTCCCGTCGAAAGTGCGTCCTCATCCTGATCCCTTCTTCCTCCATTACAGGTATCATCTTGGTTCAATGATCCTCCTCTATTCGAAGATATGACGAATCTGAACTGTTTGGGAGTCCAGAACATCAGCCAAACCCGCTGAACTATGGTCCCCAAACCACTCCTGGGGTCCACCCGGTGCAATTGTTCACCCCAGATCCGTTTCTGAGTCCGATAGCCCGAAGCGGCCCCCGGTGGTCGAAACAGCAACAAGAAACGTCCCGAATCCAGATCCTCCAACCTTGTCACCCCCTTCCCTGTTGGCCAGAACCAGTGCTGGGTGGGCCACCTCAGAACTCCAGCCGACTCCAAATTCGAGGTGTCCTCCTCTCCATCGTCCAACTTGCCATCGCTCGGACGTCCTTTCCCCCTCGCATGGTTCGGTTCGCGCGCTTGTTTTGCCCCCAAGATGATTCGACCTGCTCCTCGAGGATACTCGCCAAGAACAAATAAAAACGTCTGAGTGATGCCAAGCCAACGGTCGCGGTACTAGTCGAGATATTCCTCCTCTTCGAGCTGCCCCGTCCTCGCGGCGAGTCAGAGGCCTGTGCCCCCTCCCCATTCCGAGATGCCGAGGTTCCGAAAGAGAGGAAGGGGAGGGAGGGGAAGGAGAGAGGAAGAGAGAGAGAGAGAGAACGAGACGCCAGCAGCGAGAGAGAGAGAGAGAGAGAACAGCACCAAACAAGCGGCACGTATAGACGTGGCCCAGGGACACACAAGTGAATAGAAACACATCCGAAGTTTCCCAACTTGTTCCTTCTGTTCTGGATGTGTTCCCCTCAACTTCCCATAGATGCCACACTTGCATGGGGATCAGCGGTCATTTGTGTCTGTAGTCCTCCCTTCCTGAACGTGTACGGCAGGAACTCTGCATTGACCAGCTAACGAAGAGAGAGGTGAAGAGAACGAGAGAGAGAGAGAGAGCGCGCGCGCGCAACAAAACAGCACACACGCATCACAGATTCTTCCGCCTCCTCGTCGTTGATTCGGAACCCGAGGGTCGAATCGGTCGAAGCTGTTGGAACTCGAGGGCAATGTGCTTTTGGGCCTCAGGAGACCCACCTGAGACCGCAGGGGATGACGTCCTCCTCCTTCTCGTGGAGGGGCGGGGTGACCCCGCAGATTCCTCGCGTGGCTACTCCTCTTCTTCCTCCCTCTACTAATCTTTCAGTAGGCAGCCCGTTGAGCCCAATCGTCCTCCTGCTTGTCCTCTCTGTTCCCATCCTACATCCCATTGTCGTCTGACACCACCTCCTCCTGCGCCTCCTCCTTTTCGACATCGTCTTCGTCGCCATCGTCCAAAACGTTTTCCTCCTTGATGCCCTCTTCCTCCCGCCAGTCTGCCTTGTGCTGCCCTGCGCTCGCACCATCAGAGTCCAACTCTTCATCTGCCGTCCTCGTATTCGTCGTCAAGGCTAGCGTCGTTTGGTTTATCCATAGAGGAGGAGGACGACGAGGACGAGGAGGATGAGGAGGAGGAGGGGAGGGGTAGGGGGAGAGGGGGGGGGGGGAAGGAGGAGGAGGCGGAGGAGGAGGAGGACGAGGAGGAGGAGGAGGGGGAACTACACAAGCATTAACTGCTGGAGGTCCGCGCGGGCTTCTGGGATCTGAGCTCGCAGGTCCCTCCCCGGCGCGCGGCGCCCAGCGCAGA